AGAGCGAGAGAGAGAAAGAGAGAGAGAGAGAGAGAGAGAGAGAGAGAGAGAGAGAGAGAGAGAGAGAGAGAGAGAGAGAGAGCGGCGAGGGATAAATGGAAAAGGGTAAGCAGGAGTGGTGGCGGTAGAGTGAAGGGAACGAGGACCCAACTTTTATGACACGCAAATAAAACCATTGGGCTTGCGGCGTCCCCACTGCCCCCCGCGGCCCCCGGCGCCCCGCGCGTCACGTGACCAACCTGATTCATGACCCTCAGCACCAATATGATAGTCCGTGGCCAGCGGCCGGGGCGGTGCGCGCCGGCCGACGCCCAGGGGCTCAGCGGACTGGCCGCACCGCTCCAATCCTGGGCCCAATTTAGGGTCGGTCCGTTATACCCCTTTGATATTCCAACTTGCGCCCCCCCCCCTCTCTTCCCAAATGCGCGCGTCGCTAAGCCTCCCCCCTCGGCCCCGACAATGTGTTCAAAATCCTTTACACGGGCGCGTACTAGTGGTTGCCCTGGCTCCGCCAGCAACCCACACACCGCCCACGGCAGGGCGGGGTGGGGTGGGATGGGGTGGGATGGGAGCGCCCACCCGCGCAAACGATATGCTTTGTTGCGGGGCGCTCGTGCTGCTGCCGCGGCCTGGCGTGCTCTCCGCCCCGCCCCGCCGGGCACAGGTCAGTGCATCAATCACCTAGCTCCCATGGCTGCGGCCTGCGGGGGTGGCGGTTAGCCCGCGCGGCTGCCGTGCGGGGGCGTAGCGCTGTGTGTAAGGCGGCGAACACAAGAACGCCGCCCGATGGGTAGTTAATAAAGCGCGTCGGGAGTAAATACCATCGCTTTATTGTCGCGGGCTTTATCGCCCGTGCGAGCGCCCGGGATGGTAATACTTCCGCTCGGGCGGCCTTGACTGCGCGTAGTGGCGGGGCGGGGTGCCGGTACCCTCCGCTTCCCTGCCGGAGCGAGCTGGAGCGGAGCGGTACCCGGACGTTGGGGCCGGCCCGGCGGAAAGACGACCCGCGCGCGCGCGCGTATTTAGGAGAGGACTCCCCGCCCATTTGCATAAACGCGAGCGCGATTTTGACGGCGCGAGCGCGGCGGCCAGTCTGTCTGCGTCTGTGTTACTCACTCTCCCACGGCTGCTTCACTAAGGTGCCTGGTCAGCCAGCGTTGTCCGTGAGAGCCGGCCGCCGCCTCCCCCCTTTCTTTATGGGGGGCGCCGCCCCGCTTGGCCCGGCCCGCACCATTAGTCGTACGCCACGCGGCCCCGCCCGCCCTGCGGCCTGCGGGTGGCCTATGCAGTGGGCGCGCCAGTCGTGACATCATTACCGTGACTCGTGACCCCCGAGCGGCACCGCGAGCCCCGCCGCCGCAGCGTGTACGCGTCGGAGCGGGGGAGGGAGGAGAGAGGTCCACCCCCACGACCCCCACAGAGGGAGGACACCATATAATCCCCCATGACCCTCCGCCCCACCTCGCCTCTACTGAAAGGTAACGAGAAGCGGGCGGTCCCAAAGCCCCCCA